GGTCCCCCAGCTGCTGTCTGTGCTGTGGGGCTGCAGGGACCCTGCATGCCACACTCTAAGTGGTAAGGCCACCACTCAGATAGGTCCCATACAAACATGAAAATGTGCTTTCTCTGCTGGATGATTGGCCCCAATGGCAAAAGAGGAAGCTCTACAGGGAGACAGGAGATGAGAGCAGTCTGGTGCATGATTAATTTATATCCTTAAAGGCCTGAAATGCTCCCAAAGATATTAGTATTCCCCAGGTAAAAGAGCTGTCCAGATTTTCAACATATCCCTGCCTTATATCTACTGGAATTAATAGCTGAAGTCTTGTGAAGCTCAGCAGTCAAGCATTTAATCAAATACAGAACCTGAGATCATAGTTTGGGAGTCTAAATGTTGCTGTCAGAAAGAGACACAGCCCAAATTTTCGTTTCTACTTAGACACTTTTATAATATCCTGAAAGCATAAATGCACCTCAGAGTGGGTGCAGTGCTTACACTGACAGCCTCTTTACACTGCCAAAATATTGATACGAAGAGCCCTTCAGATGAATCTGAAAAATAAAAATATCATTTCTCACATCTCTCCCCAGTAAAAGTGACACAGTCCAAGAGTCTTCTAGAGTAAATTAGTTGCCAGATGGTTCACTCTGTGTTTTCTGTTTGTGTGTGTAGACCTGTCCAAAAGGAGGTTGTGTATGCACTGGGAGGAGGATGAAGAATCCAACCAGGTGTTTTAAAATTAGGCATAAATCCACACTTGTTTTTACACGTTCTTTAGTACTCCAGCTCTTGCACCCAGAAATTATTCAATTTCTCTGTTTTAAGGGTTGCTACGTTTAAGTTGGTGTGGGATCCTTTGGGATGAATAGACACTATCTCCTGCTTCCCAAATTTAACTTTTTAATAGGGAAAGTCTGCTGCCATTTTTTTCCATATAAGTGGTGAGGTAACAAGGACCAGCGTGTGGGAGATTCCGCACCCCCCCCAGTCCTGTCTGAGCCCATCGCTGCTCCTGGTGCCCAGCTCATCCCACCAGTGTCCTCAGTCAGGGCAAGGGTTACAGGACACTGACAGAGAAAAGTGCTCGCTAGAGACTGCACCAGATACCCAATGGCCAGCTCTCTGTCTGAAGGAAATGTGCTGAACAGGCTGAGGTGGAACCGTGGTGGAACTGGCACAGAAAACACAGATGCAGTTTTTCAGATTTGTTAGATGATAGCCTCTGTCTCCAGCAGCACATTTTGCTGACACTATCTCAAATCCTCCACCCCCTCCTACAGATGTCCAGAACATATTAGCTAAAAAAGAGAAACTGGAGACCCAGAACATTGTTGCAGTAAAATTAAAATCTTGGAGTCACGCTTGTTTTAAAATTCAGGCAAACAAAGTAATGCCTGGCTTCAGTTAGATTGTTTGGTAACTTACTTGTAGTTACTTATTTCAAGATATATAAGCTAGGAGTAATGTATATGTCCATGTCTTTGCTTTCTGTAATTGCCAAAAATATTTCTCAAACATCCTTCTTTCTTTTTTTCAAATTTTCCTAAGGCAAGTGGTAAATGGAATGCTTTAATGCTGTTATGCCTTCTTATTAGAGGATTTATATTCCAGGTAAAAGAACCACAATTTTTTCCCGGTGCAGTTCAAATCAGTTGACATGGGGTGTGAAAGAATGCCTTAACTTCAAGGTGTCAGAAAATACCAAGTGATCAGCAAAAAAAGACTTTGGTTTAAACTTTGCATTACACGTGCCTCATGGTATTTCCAGTTTAAAGAAAGAACTAGGAGAACTGCTCCAAAATTGTGGAATTTAATAGGCTAATAAATTGTTAGAAAGTTTATCAGTAAACGTTATGTCACATTGGAGAGGACAGCCCAGTGGTTGCTTAATATGAACATGAATATTAATATTAATCATTACTCTTAAGAAATTTATTATTTCAGTAACTTAAATCTACTGGTCTGTAGTATATTCACTGTCTTTCCACTGAACTGCTACATTCTATTGCTCTCCCTTTGAAGAGGAATGTGAAGCAGGCAGGGCTCCTTCAGGGAGGAATCTCAAATGTGCTTGTTAGCAAGATGGTGCTGTATTTACCCTCTTATAAATTGTCAGTGGGATTTCCATGACTCCGGGCATGATGAATATTATATTTCATCATCTAGAAGCATTCTGACTTTTGACTGAATATTTTGCTCAATAATTAACAGAGGCCTACTAAGTGATGGAAAAGAGATTACAGCAGCTGCAGGGTTGTTGCACATATATGAGTTGGAGGTGTCTCTGTGGCTGGGCACTCTGAAGGGTGTCTGTGGCCAGGCAGGACACACCTGTGGATGGATGGGGGACTTGAAGGACTGGGAAGGACCTGCACCCATGTGGATGGTTTGAGATGCCTCTACACAGCTCAGTTCCACAATTTGCTTTCTAAAGTGAACAGTTTTAATTTCTATACCTTCTAGAGTATTCTAGAGTGGCTGTGGAAGTTGGCTGACCTGAGCTCTTAAACTTGCTGAGCCGGGCACAACAGGGGCACATCAGCATTGGCTGTGAACAAATATTTGCTGGTTGCAAGAAGTATGGCTTGTAGCATATATTATATAAATTGCATATAAATACAAATATGTATTTACCAAATCCACTTCCCACAATGCAAATGTGTCCTTAAACATGCAGGAATGAAAAAAAAACCAAACAAACCTCTGAGCTAATACCATTCAAAAAACCACATATTTCACATATAAATATCCATGCAAAAATGGTAGCTGGAATACCTGTGTGTTCACTGGGAGCAGAAACATGAACACCAAGCCCCAGACAGTTTTGTGAAATAAATTTTGTCTTCAGTTTCAGTTTAATAGCTCAAGATCTTTCTGCCAGATGTATGAATGGCTTTGGGACGGAAGACACAGGAAGGAAAATGAAGATGTGATCAACCTAGGAAATGGTATTTGGGAAACCTTCCAGCATCATGAGCAAGCGAACACAGGAGTGCATTAGCACTGCACACTGTCTGATGAGTGCTCCAGAGGCTGGTTCAGGGGACATAATGCTTTGTTTCACTCAGAAAAAGACATTTGTGGGACAGGAGAAAGAAAATGCATGTAACAGACACAACTTTAAACGCTTTTAGCAGAAGCTCGTGAAATTTTACCAAAGAACAAATGGAGACTCGTGGATGTACTAAGAGAGATGTCAAGACCTGAGATGAATTGATGGACCACAGTCATAGCTAATTGACAGTGACATGTTTTGTTTTGCACTATTTGGACTGGAAATGAGATTTTGAGAAATTAAACAGAGGCCAGCATGCTCAAAATCACAGTTTTTCAGCTGTTCTAATAACCCCTTTCAAAAATATCACTGCATGCTACATTATGTGTCTCTACCTCTAATTTTGAACTAGTTGCAAACAGAAAAAGGCATTGATTAAATGTGTCAACAGTATTAAATTCAAAGATGCTGAATACACCAGAAAGTGCAAAGGAACTGTACAAAAAGCAGCAGGGTGGCTAGAAAACTTAATTTGGAACAGCAGTGAGATTTCAACACAAGCAGAGAAAAGCTATTGTATCAAAGATGAAATGTAGAGTTGTAATGACAGGAGATACAGATGAAGATGAAGGCTTGGGAATAATAGGGTGGAAGGTAGTATTGGTGAAGGTAAACAGAGGCATCATACACAAATGTGCCAATGTACACTATTCTTTACATGGAACTTGTAAAGATGCATCTAACATTAGCTCCAAATTGCTGTCACTCTGGTGCTTGAAAGAAGGGAGCAATGCTTTTGGGAAGTGAATTGGATCTGTGATTGGAGAAGTGTTACTTGGGAAAAGAGTCTGCTAGCAGTGACTACAATTATGAAGTACTGCTAGTAGGACAGAAATCCCCATCAGAGACAGGTATTACATCTGAGATATACCACAGAGCAAGGCCAGAGCACTGGGAAGCTCTCACAAAGAAAAAAGTTGTATTTCAGGAGTGTATCAGGCTACATCAGGATCATAGAATCACAGAATGGTTTGCATAGGAAGGGATCTTAAAGGTCATCAAGTTCCAAGCCTCTTGTCATGAGCAGGGACATCTTCCACTAGACCAGGTTGATTAAAGCACCATCCAACACTGAACACTGCCAGGCATGGGCATCCACACCTTCTCTGGCAGGCTGTGCCCATGCCTCTCCACCCCCACAGTAAAGGATGTTTTCCTGGTATATAGCCTAAATCTACCCCCACTCAGTTTAAAGCCATCCCCTCTTGTCCTATCACTACATGCCCTTGCAAAACTCTACTGTAGCTCCCTTTAGGGACTTGAGGGTCCTATAAGGTCTCCCTGGAGCCTTCTCATCTCTAGGCTGAACAACCCCAACTCTCATGGCCCTCCTTTAGGCTCACTCTAACAGGTCCATGCCCTTCTTACATTGGGTGCCTCAGAGCTGGATGCCTGCTCCAGGTGGGGTGTCACCAGAACAGAGCAAATGTGCAGAATCCCCTCCCTTGCCCTGCTGGCCACGCTTCTTTGGAGGCAGTCCAGGATGTGGTTGGCTTCCAGGGCTGTGAGAGCATACTGCTGGCTTATGCCAAGCTTCTCGTCCTCCAACACCCCCAAGTCCTTCTTCTCAGGGCTGCTCTTGCTCTGGTCATCTGGGCTTAGTGGCTATTGCAAGGGTAGTGCACTGGGATCAGGGCCTAAGACAGGTGGGCTAATGAATTATAGCCACTGTTTAAATGAGGGTTAGTTGACATGAAAGGAGAGAAAAATCAAGGGAGAAGAAGATCTGTTGTCCCTTTTATTAGGAATCTGGAGGCTAAAAAGAACCTGAGAAGGAGGCATTTGCTGTTGCATGGAGGGTCTGGGCTGGAAACAATGACCATATGGCACAACATGCACCTGAGACCTGATACAAACCCACCAGTGTCAGGCCAGTCTTTTCACCACTTCTAAGAATCCTTGAGGCTACCAGGACTGTGCTGCCCTGGTTCATATATTTGTCACCCCTCAGGCCAACCTGCTTGCCCCAGCATTGATGCACAAAGCCCAGTTTTCAAGACCAGCTGGTGCTCCTCACCTGACCACCTTGGTGCCGTTCCTCATGACCTGCATGTCCACCATGCAGCCACCCATGACATAAGCAGCCAGGTTCAGCTCGGAGAACTCGGCCTGGAGTGGAGCAAGAGGACAAAGAGTTACTCAAGGGCAGCAGGGACACAAACACACACACACACAGACGCAGAATTTTCTTTGTCCGGAATGTGTCTTTCCTTCTTTTTTGTATTTTTTTTTTCTGTGTGGGAACTGGAGATCCAATTATAGCTGGCTTGCCCTGAGAGACTGCAGAAATATTTATGGCTCCCACACTTGGGGTGTAAAAGTACACAGGATTAGGCTTATTGCAGTAACAAGTACTGAAGGAATTAAGAATAAGCAGGCTGAAAAAATGCACACAGGAAAGAATAATGATAATAGTAACAATAATAAAAAAAGGTAAGGTCATTTGAATTCAAATTCAGAGTTTCCACTTGGAGACATCCAGAATTATGTCTGAGTTGGCTGCCGTGCCACTGGCCAGCTATAAACCTAATATAAAAGATTTAAACCTTTTTAAACCTCATTATGTTGCAGGAAGGTGATAAGCAGAGGTCACCTGATGCGATTTGCTTATTAAGATTTTTACTATTAAAGAGTTAGCAAAGCTGGGTAAGTTATTAACAGAGCTGCTCAATCATTAAAACACTTTGTATTTTAAAAGAGGCACAACTTGCAAGGCTGGAAAGGTTGACAAGGGATATTTCAGCTGTGGGGAGCAAAAGACACGGGGTGATAATAATAAATATATAAATTAACAGGCTTAATTTTTTGAGGCAGAAAATTTAGTCTTCTCCCTTTGAGCAGTTTTTTCCCTCTTCCTTTTAAGGCATTTTTTCAGACTTAGTATGATGAAGACTGGGCAGCAGTAAAATCATCTTCTAACCAGAGCTAGCTAATCCCAGAACACTCAGATGGTGCTACTAATACTTATGACTTTACTGAGGTCCTTGTACTGTTCAATGTTCTTCTGCTAATTATATTAGTTGGAACCAAAAGATAGTGCCAGGAACAACTTTTATACATTAAAAAAACAAAAAGGAAAAAGAAAAAAACAAGCATGTTTTGTCCTCATGAACTCATGGAAAAAACTTGCCAATGGAGAACCAGTGCACCTGTAAAGGCTCAAAGGCCAGACGACAAATGAAAAAATAATTTCCAACTTTCCTTTTAAAATCCACATAATTTTAAAGCAATGGCTCTGGACTGGTGACCCGATGATGTAATGAGATTTCGTGTCCGTGGCCCTGTGTAAACTTTTTAAAGCAACACGCTTACATGATCTTACATCATTGTAAGTCCCAATTACAATGAAAAGAGGGGGGAAATTCCTATTGCCAAGAAATAAATTCTGCTTCAAACACAAACACATACACACACAGACATGCTCACAGGGAGGGATTGGCAGTGGTTCAGGTGAGTGCCTGGGTTTTACTCGTGAGAGATTGCACTGTGCTGCCTTGGCCACAGCCACACTTCTTCAGTGACCCCACCAGACCAGAGATAAGAAAACATGGACCCCTCAAAGGCACCTGCCTTCCATACATTTTGAAAAATCTCAGGGCACCTAGGGAGAGAGGAGTCTACCTTGGAGAAATTCAGTAAGATCAGATGCTTTGGGCACCATCAGTGATCTCCCCAATGAGTCAAGGCAAGATTGCTAGTTTACACATTAGCTCCAGAGGCTCTGTGGACTGGGGAGATGAAAGGATGTTTTTCCCACTTCTGTGTCTCCATATGCCTCAGAGAAAGCAGAGTGTTGTCAAGCTGAACCTCCAGCTTCTGTTGCCGAGGAATGCATCATCTGATGTGAGCACCAGCACAAGACAGGAGAGTTTTAGGTCTGTGTTTTCATGTTTTTCATGTTTTTCTTCCAAAATTTTTTTCCATGATGGTTTGTAGTAAAAAGCTTAACACTCCTCTTTGCTGGGGGTGAAAATGGGCAATCTTCCTTCGATGAGGGGCACTTGCAGCCTGACTAAGTTGGTCTGACAGGCGTTTCCCTGAGGCAGTCAGCCAAACAAAGCTGTGCTCAGACACCTGACCTGCAAACACGCCTGAGAACCCCCCAAGCTGGTGAGTACCTCATGCCAAACTGCCAGGACCAATTTCAGGCCCTGCTAACGTCAAGAGACAGAAGAAAAGGAGAAATCCCCTTTGGCAACCATTGTCCAGTGAACACTGGCAAGAAGAGTTAAGCGTAGAGAGAGTCTGGGGGATTCAGCTATCTCACTCCCAAAACGTCCAGATCTACAATCAGAGCTGAGGGACAATCCTGACCTTTGCCTGGCATTCACTTCTGCTTTAATAGACAAAGTTAAGGAATGCTGCTGCTTTCATCTAGCTGCTTTGTTCCATCCAATGGGCTGCTGCTGGCAGGCGTTTGGAAGAAGGCTAAAACCTTCAGTCAGCAGAAATTGTTTCCTGTTGATTTTCCAGTGCTCCCTGTATTTTTAACTTTGTGGGTTTTGTAGCCCGATGACTTCCCTTGGCTGGGATTTCAGCTCTGAGATCATCTCCAGCCTGAGTTTACCTTGCAGACAAAGAGGTCTTTGAAAGCAGCCCATGCAGATAGAGTGACAGGTAACTATGCATAAAACAGGAGAGCCTAGCTCCCCGTGGCCTTGCAGAGTCATTTGCATTAGGAATCATGGAACAGAAGAAGGCATTGCATTAGCCTGATGGTGTTTTATACTGGCTTTGCAGCAGTGCCAGTGGCTGCAAAAACATTCAGGGCAGGAGCAAACCGCGTGTGACAAACGCGACACAATCTGTCTTGAAGAATAATGTAATGAGACTGTGGGAGGGGAAATATTTCATACCTCTGTGAGGCTCAGCTATGAGATGATGCCCACAGCTACTTTGATCATAGTTTTGTCAAAAATGCCTCCTTCAGGTGTTAAGAATCAGAAGACTCTCCAAATCGTTTGGACTAAACCTTAAGGTACTCTCAGTTTCCATCAGTGTCCTCTGTGCGCTGGAGATCTTTTTGGTGAGCTATTTTAGAGTGTCTGTTTCCTGATATTAAAATAAGGAAGATTTTGTCATTAGTAGAATAGTAGAAATGCCTGGCTTAGTAGCTGTGCCTCTTAGTGATTTAAGGGAAGCATGTGTTCAAGGTGTATTTTAAGCATTTTTCATAGGACAAGAGAAAGTTGTGTTGGAAGGACTTCAAGACATCACACAGTCTTTCTCTCTTTCCTAAGCTCTGCCTCTGCCATTGTGTGTAGATACTACATTACCTTTTTCAGTCTTCCATAGATGAGGAACCTCCTCAGGCAGTCTTAACAACAATGCAAAATTTTCCCAAAGCCCAGTCTAAATCTCTGCCTTTACCTTTTAAGACAGCATTTTTTTTGGGTCCATTACTTCTTTCTGCAGAACCCAAAGACTTATTCCTCAAAGACTTGCTCTTCCTTATTTTTTTTCTTTTTTCTCTTTTTTTTCTAGACAAAACTAGTCCCATTCTCGTAAGATTTTCTTGTAGATTACGTTTTTCAGTGAATTGATCAGAGTTGCTGCTGTCACAGGGATTCTCTCTGGCAGGTCCACAACTTTCTCCATTTGTAATACTGCCAACCATATGCTTGAGTATGGATTTGTCACACATGCAGTAGTGTGACTATTTTTTAACTCATATTCTGGATGAGATCCACTGTAGTCCTTGCACTGCTTTGTCTAGGCTACTGACTAGCCTGGTCCATGCCATGGCTTAGGCACTTGGGATGAGGAATTGCTACTGTATAATCAAATCTCATACATTCCTCTATGGATTTTATGCCTTATTTTTGGGTGGATCTTCCAATATGTACAAGGAAAGGCCCACAGGAGGCTGCATTCCTAAAGCAGCACATTTCACTACAACCATTACAAGCATCTCAAGGGGAAAGCAAGCAATCCCTAAATCCTGCACAGGCAGAAAGGTGGGCAGATAGTTTGGATGTCTATCTTTGGATGATCTTTGGATGATCTTTGGATGAGGGTTGAGGCAATGCATGCATGCAGAATTAGAGATTACACATTCTGGTTCCCGTGTCTCTTCCTGGGATATTTTTCCTTGGGCAGGAACCCTGCTCCCCACCTGCCCCCAGTACCAGGATTGTTCTCTGGGAGAAAAGAATGAAGAGAATCCATCTGTGATGTGAATACTGCTTTGTGGCTCCAGGAGCAGCTTCCAGAGTGCTCTTCACAAGTCCTCAAGCTAGCATGCATTCTCCTAGGCTAGAGACAATGCTGGTGCTGAAGGCCCACATGCCTTCACCTGTGTGAACACCTTTTGGTGCATCAGCTCTGATGGCATTCAGAATTGTCTCTTGAGCTTTCATTTCAGAAATTATGTGGCTGCCTGAAAATTTGAGGTTTAGAAAAAGCACACTTCTAACTATTTTGATCCCAGGAAATGGCTCAAAACCATGAACTCTTTAAACTTCCAAAAGCCAATGAAAATTAAAAAGAAATAGTATTAATTTAAGAAAATAATGATTTTAGAGTAATTCTTGCTAGTTCTTCAGGCCCCTTTATTCGTGGTTTCTGAATGCATGTGGCAAGCTATGAGAATTCTGTTGCTGTTCTTGAACTGCTTTCTGGCATTCAGTTGGAGAAAAACCCAAACCCTAAACATATAATGAATAAAAATTATACCATTGTTTGACAAGAGCTAGTTTTCCTTTCATCACACACAGACCTGTCAGACTCTACCTTTTGAAAGGACCATTTTACACCACACATGAAAATACCTCTTTAGGGCGGGAAGTACAATGGAGCTGGAATTCATGATTTGTATTACAATTATTTTCTGTGACTGCCAAGTACAACTTTTTTCCTGACAAGGCTGCCAATGGAGTCATAATCTATACCACAAGACTTTTCCAGAAGCATGTACATAGGAGTTCACTGAATAATCATTCCCTGAAAATAAACTGAACAGTGGGAACAAGTGAATGAGCTGTGCAAGAAAAATGTGTGTCAGACGGACAGACGGACCCACCTCGTCACAGCAGGAAATGGTGGGAAGGAGACGGGTGGACAAACAACAGGAATAAAAATGTAGATGGATCTTTTGGCTTCATGACTGCTCTTTCACACCTTTCACTCCACTCCACCATCAGTTAGCCAATGCCAGGAAAGATGTCTCTGTACATACTAAAATTCCTTTGGGAAATATCTGCAGGACAGGTATCATGAAGGTGGGGGACTCTCTCTAAAAGGTGCTGCTTGCTCTTGCCTGCTGTGTCTCTCATTGTTCCATGAAAGGGACAGGACTGGAAAAGCCCATCAGAGCCATAGGGCACACTTGGTACCGTGTCATGAAACCCTTACTTGCACCAAGGTATTTTCTGAAAGCACTCATGTCTCCTTTATCCTCTTCTATGGCAGGAGGAACAAACTCAACTCTTGCAGTCTCCTCTCACAAGCTAAATCTCCATGGCCATCCCAGTGATCCTGCTCTGCACATCTCCTGCTTTGTAGCCATCACTCCTCCAGACAGGTGTCAAATGTGCCCCTCATGTGCCCC